AAATTTCCGACCTCATCTCCTAAGCTGTCACTCACTAACCTGTTCCAGACGTTGCTGCCATGATGTTGTTCATTAATTGTTCACCCGCCTGTAACAGTATCTCCCCAGGTCCTAACTGCTCTCTCCTTCACCTCCTTCAAGTCTTTGTTTAAATGGGGGGGGGTGGTCTTCCCCACTTACCATATTTAAAATTCCAACACTCTCAATCTACTTCAAACTTCCTATGACCTTTTCCTGCTTTTTATTTTCTCCATAGCAATGATCACAATCAAAGGTATCATGCATATTTCATATTTTTGTTGCTGTGTCCCCCTCTCTCCAATAGAATGTAAGCCCCATGAGTTCAGGGCATTCTGTCTCTTTTATTCCCTTTTGTATCCCCAGCAGTTCATTAAACACAATAAGAGGATGGGTGAATGAATGAATGCAGACTGAATATAGGGGGAAGAAAGTGGAGACAATCGTAAAAGAAAAAAATAAGAGAATTTTTTTCTATAAAACAATTCATTAAAACATACTGCCCCCTTTTCTCTCCCTCTGCCTCTGATACTTGTCCTACAGAGAGGAAGAAAATTAGACATGGAGTGATAAAAGGAGCTGCAAGTAAAGAGAGACCATCAGCCCTCCCGAAAGCTGTATTCTAAGGAAGAAAGGAATATACTGTGAATGCTGGGAAATACACAGAAAAAAATTAATACATAAGAATCCAACAGTTTGGGCCTGAGATTTAGCTCAGTGGTTCCGCTGCCTGCCTCGCAAGCACAAGATCCCAAGTTTGATCCCCAGTACCAAAAGAAAAAAAAAAAGGAATCCAACAGTTTGATAACTTGTTAATGAGAATGCAAAGAAACTGGAACTTACATACTGCTCATAGGACATGAAAAAATGCAGATGCTTTGGACAACAGCTTCGAAGGTCCTGAAACAATTAAGCATAGCTACCAGCAGCTCCACTCCAGGTGTACATCCAAGAGAAATGAAAACATGTCCACATGGAAACTTGTACATGAATATTTATAACAGCTTTGTTTATAATAGATGGGAAACAACCCAAACATCCATCATGAACTAATGGATAAACAAAATATGGTACACTATACAGTGGAATATTTGGCCATAAACAGGAGTGAAGAGCCAGGCATAGTGCCACATGCCTGTAATCCTGGCACTCAGGAAGTTTGAGTCCACCCTGGGCTACATAGTGAGTTCAAGACCAGCCTGAACTACACAGTGAGACCCTGTCTCAAAAAACCTAAATAGATGAGTGAAGTACTAACATGTGTTACAACATAAATGAACCTTAAGAATACTAAACTAAAGAAGGTAGTCATAAAAGCATGCATATTATATGACTGTACTTATATGAAGGTGAACAACAGGAAAATCTTGAGAGGCAGAAAAGCAGAGGAATGGTTGTTTAGGGCACCAGAGGATGATAGGGAGATAGGAGACTGACAGCTACAGGGTGCTGGATTTCTTTTCTTTTCGAGGTGATATAAATGTTTTAAAATTGACTGTGGTGATGGTTGCACCCGTCTGTGAATATAGTACAAATTAAAAAATTGTACATTTTAAATGGATGAGTTATACGGCAAAGGAACTGTATCTCAATAAAACTGTTACAAATTAATACATCAGATGTGATGACGGAAGTGGAAAATTGTCTTAATCATAGTCAATATAAAAGGTGGGCTTCCATGAGCTGGGCATGGTGGTGCACACCTGTAAACCCAGTACTTTGGGAGGCTGAGACAGGAGTATGGCAAGTTTCAGCCTACCTTAGTGATTTAATGAGACCTTGTCTCAAAAAAGAAGAAAAGAAGAAAAAGACTGGCTTCCCTTTCGCTGACCCCTGGTTGTCTCTGGAGCCCCTTCCCCCACATACCGCTAGTGTTGCTGGATCTCTAACACTGCTTTCATACAAGCAACTTCTGCATGATCGTAACACCTCCTCATCATTCTGTTACACTCTCCTTCTCTCCTATGTTTTCCATGTATTTTCAATGCGCCCCCACCTAAAAACACACACCTTGCCCCCAACCAGAATTCGGAGCACAAAAACAATCATCTGCAGAGACCTAAAGGTTTTCAATCAAAAGATTTAGACTACATTCCAGAACTTATCTTTTCTTTCATCTAACTAAATGTGATAATAAATGTCAACTCATAGTCACTGATATAATATTCAACTCTATTCATTACTTATTTCCATGTCAGATCTATCACCCAACAATACAAATATGTGTTAGGGACTATGGAAAACAGGATCAAAAAATGTCACAATTAGAAATGACCTTAGATATGTTCAAAAACAGTTCTCTCATAGCTGAGAAAACTGAGATTCAAAAAGATAAGTTGATTTTTCTAATATCACTCAGTAAAACAGCCACTCCCTACTCAAGGCCCTTCCTGTCATTCCAAAAGCCCTTCCTGTCATTCCAACCTAATCAAGTACCAGAGAATCATTACACACATACACAAACACCCAGAAAGAAAGAGAAAATGTCATACACAGATAATGATAAAATCTATTCAAGTGAATGCTAAGTTAAAGGTTTATAGTATGCTTTAACTTGCTATTTTCTCTATCTTCAAAAATAGTTAAAAGAGGGCCAGGGATTTAGCTCAACGGTTTCACCGCCTGCTGCGCAAGCACAAGGACCCAAGTTCAATCCCTGGTACCAAAAAAAAAAAAAAATAGTTTAAAGAGTCGTAGGTAATATAAACCCTTGATCAATGGAAATAGGATCAAGAATGTACTGAATTTTATATACAATCGTATTTTATAATTATAAAATCAACGTTAATGATTTTCATATAATTTAATTCCAGAACCTTCTAATTTATTAGTCAACTCTTTGAAGCATGCCAGATCTTTCCCCTTTGAACAAGACAGCTAAACCACAGGAAAGTCAGTAACAGCAAGGTGCATAAGGTCTTGGCTCTAGGTCACCTCTTCTGAGAAGCCTTCCCTGAATCTAAGATAGTTTCCCACATGACTACCCTGTTAACCTGCTTTATTATTATCATTTTTTGTATAACAGCTCTGCTTAACATTAGAGATGATATCAATTTATATGTTTAAATTCTACCTATTCCACTGAAATTCAGGAGGGCAAACATTTAGTTCCATGACTTTATTCCCAAGAGCCTCATATAGAAGATTCCCCAGTATACAGAGGGCTCTCAGTAAATATTTATTTAATAAAAATGAATTTTTATAAATGTCTTATTTACCTGAAAAGAATTTCTAGTTGTATATTTTACATATGTCTATAAGATCAAAGTTAATATGTTTTGCCAGTATTTTTCTCTTTATTAGTTTATTGTCCAATTGAGCTGGAAGACGGCACCCCACAATACAATTCATTACAATAATTTTTCATAACACTTCAAAATATCGTGATAGCCCAGTTTCTATTCATTACTTATGGTAAATTTTATATTTTGTTTCTAGTGACATATTTTCATAACAGAATTTTTTGGAGACAAGCAAACTGTGGCGTTAATTAGAGAGAACTGTTTTTACTTTATATTTTAGCCAACTTCAGATTTATCCCTATAGAAGAAATATATTTAGGTTCTTCTAAAATAACAAAAGCCTCAAAATACATCACAATTGGCATCTTGACTTTTCATAACACAAAGCATCATATATATGAGATGTCTTACTAAGACAGCAAACACAGTAAATAACTAACCGATTCTTTATTGATATATAAAGGACATTTCATGTTTAATCAATGTAGAAAATACTAATACATGTGTAAGATCCCAGACAAGTAAGAGCGGCCATTATTTTCATCATTTGAAGGACATAAAAATGACAAATTTCTATTTGCCTCTAAATTTCTGCCAGTGCCATCTTTTTAAACAACTGAAACCTACCACATTTAAAACTCAGCAATAATTTGAACACATGTATTCTTGCCAAATGCACAAGGAAAGAATCTGAGATTCTCAACATCACGCTCTTGTGGTGAAGAGGTTGTGTCAAACTCTTCCAGTGAAGAGAGAATTTCAAAAGCAGGAAAAATGTGGGAGAACAGTGAGGGAGGACTTTTCAGAAATCACTGCTGTATTTCTTCAACTGAGCAGCAACTTGTGCTAATGAAAGTCAGGTGGACGTCAGACAGCAAACCCCAAACCCCGGGGCTTCTCCTGTAATGCTACCCTCCGTGATGACAATGAGGGCTCCTGTGAGCCTCACAGAGAGGTGCTACTTTACAGAGAAACTGAAAAAAGTAAATAGGATCATATTACAGTGCAGCAGTTGAAACTCATAGCTTCAGGGCACAAAATAAAGTTATTTTGCTTCAACTATCTTTAAAGAGCACAGACAAACCAAATTACATGCATTTCTCTGCATGAGACAAGCACAAAATGTTTACACCCATCCATGAATCTAACTAATAATGACCTGCTGCAGAGATTAATAGAGTCGATGAAGAAATGAACAGCCTCTTTTTATTGGTTTCATTTCTTCAGCTCCACTAGCAGTTACTACTTACAAGCTTGCTTGTGAGTCACACACAGTCCCCCCCCCCCTTATGTGAGAGTTATCCTCACAGTGTGCTTTCAACTTGAATTTACTCTTCACATTCAATTAGCATCGCTGCAGAACACCGTTGGCCAAAGTCTGCCTAGGCAATTAAACATTCTTTAGTTCCAAAAGCTAATTAACTCTGATTTTGATGTTATTGCTGAAGACCCTTGGCTCTTGTGTTCCCAAGTCCAAATTTTCAGGTCTGGGCATCTCTGTTCAAATATCTACTCTATGTTCTGAATATCTGCTCTATGGCCGAGATGTGGAGCTATACGAGAAGGTATCGGTCAGAGAGCAAGGCCAGACGCAGGCAGACAATTCTTTGTTACAAGTGTCTTCAGAGGCACAATTTTTTAAATGGCTCTGAAACTTTCTGACAGTAAAACAACTGCACAGCAAAAGAAATACTACAATCCCGTACCCTAACAAGTACAAAGAATAAATGTTTCCCTTACCTGGATCATGGAAAGGCACCAAAGCAAAGTTGAAAAGAGGTCTCTTAGGTCTTTTCAAAGACGTCTCCAAAATTTTGGAAGCCCCTTCGATAACCTGAACCAAATCGTCATACATGGAGCCAGTCACATCAAAGACAAAAGCCAAGGTGGAAGCCCCATTGGGAATTTCCTCAGCCCTGACCTCCGACCGGGGGCTGGCATCTTGAGCTAGGGAAGAATAAAGAAGAGCAAACAAAAATACTGTGTGGGCAACTTCCCAGGAAATCATTTTTTTTTCTTTTTGTTTTCTCCTCGAGCGCCTAAGCTCCGTGCTGAATCCTCTTCCTCAACGGGCAGAGGATTTCCTCTCAGAGTCACTCATCAGACTCTTGCAGTCTCTCAACTAGCAAAAAGTTTCGGAGAATCAGTTACAAACACCAAGCCCGACCCGCTGGAGAAGCTGGGCTGGCCGGGGCGGGGATGCGGCAGCTTCCGTCCGGACGCGGCTTCCTCGTGGAGCGCGCGGCGTGGGGCGCAGAGCGCGAGCCGGGTCCATGCCCCGGGGGCAGCGCCGAGCCCAGTCCGCCGCCTCCGCCGGCTCCGCGCGCCGCGACTGCAGCTCCTCGCTCCGCACCGCGCGCAGCTCGCCCTCGAGGCGCCCGCCCGGCCTCGCGTCCTGATTGGCCGGCCGCGCCCCCTCCTCGCGCGCCCCCTCTTTCCCCTCTGCGGATTCTAGGGTCCGCGCAGCACCCAGAGGGCGTGGAGGGTGTGAGCTCGGCTCCCACCGGCCGGCCCCGTCCTGCAGAGCCCCTTGTAAAATAAACAATGGCTTTCAAGAATGTGTGGCAAAGGCCCAGACTTAGGGACACCGCACTAACCAGCACAAAGAGAATTTTATGTTTCTAATGTGTACAACTCTGTTCCAGATACTTCTTTCATAACTCCCCCCAGAAGCCCAGACGCCCCAGCCCAGCCCAGCCAGAAGAGGGAGCTGGAAAACTCCACCACGCGGCAGCCTTTCTTAGCGCTCTTTGATCTCCTGGGGGATTGCAGAGCTGAGGAAGGGAAAACGCGGGAGAGCTGGAGGGGCAAAAAACAGGAGGAAAAGAAAGAGGTTGCTGAGGAAGGCCGGAGAGACAGCAAGAACTGGGGTCACTAGCCAGGCTTGGTGGTGCACGCCTTCACTCCTGCCACCCTGGGAGCCTGAGGCAAGAGGACCGAATGTCCAAGCCCATTCTGGGATAGGAAAGACAAAGGCCCTAGGTTCAGCTCCCCAGTACACACACGCGCGCACACACACACACACACACACACACACACACAC